CAATAAGCCAGTGGGAGAAAGATAAATATCACATGATCTCACTCATATGTGGGATATAATGATCAACATAATTTGATGAACAAGAATAGATCCAGAGACAAATGGTAGGGGAGGAGGGGTTATAGAGCAACTAAAGGACTTGTATGCATGCATATTAACATAACCAATGGACACAGACACTTGGGCGGTGGGGGCTTGCCCAGGGTGGAAACGACTGGGGTGGGGGGAGGGGGTCAATTGGGGAAAAAGGAGACATATGTAAAACTTTAGACAATAAAAAAAATCCCCTTTTCTCCCCCTCCCCTTCCCCCTCTCTTCTGGATTCTTTCAGTTGTGGGGAGGGGTATTTGCTCTCAAGTGTCCTTAGTTGGGAAGATAATGGCTTGTTATTTACAAGCTAGCTTCAAGCTCCCTAAATTGTTTGGCCTTGTTCAATTTTCTTGGCTTAGTTTCCTATTCCACTTGCTTAAAAATTTTTCTAGTTTCTCACTACCCTGTAACACATAGCCTCAAATGCTGCTCACTTTTTAGAAATAGAATTATTTGGTACATGTGTTCTTTTTATAGTGCAAAACAATTCATTGTTATCCTATAATATGCTATAATTTACTGTGTGTCCTATTTTTTTTTTATTCTCAGAGGCACCATATCTCCATGATTACTATTTGTCCTCATGGAGAACGTCATAATGAGAGCAATTTGAATATTGTAATGATAGATATTGCCAGGGAAATATATATAGGGGTGGGCAAAAGTAGGCTTACAGTTATCCATATAGAAAATAATGTAATAAATAATAAATAATAATATGAGAACAAACTTTCATGTACTCATACAATAAACCTACTTTTGCCCACCCCCTGTATTGGAGAAATTGACTATGTCTCTCTTGATTATTGGTATAATTCCAAAGCTTAGACAATACTAGATAGGTGGCAGTTTGTAAATATTAGTTCAGTGACTTAATATTCGCCTGGCTTAGATTCTTAGAGAATTCAGAGAAAAGGACATGTCATCTCTTTTCTTTAAGGTGTATAGTGCTGTGGGAAAGATAAATACGTATGAACATTACCAGGTAGTGCAGTTTAGTGCTAAGTAGTTGAAACAGGAAGTATATGCAGCAATTGGAAGTTCTCAGTTGCTATTATCTGGGTAAAAACTAGATGGTAGGGTTTCATTTGAACCTCTCTGAAAGTGTATCTGATTTGATCAGGAAGGAAAACAAGTTTTGTATGCTTGGTATGAAGAGCAGAAACAAACAAATCAGTGTATCATTAAGGCATATGTACGTCAGAATGTTAGGCTGTAGAAAATGCGGTGGGGAGCTTTGTAGAGAAGTCTAAGGAGATTTGCCTCCTTGTATAACATGGGGAAGTAATTTTACTGATGTTTAGAGAGAAGGGAAATTACATGATCAAATATTATTTCATGAAAGCTACCTGATCGCACTGTGCGGGTGATTTGCAGAGCTGAGAGATTGGTGATGGAAAAAATATGAGCGTGGTGACAATTTATCGTATTAACTTTAAAGCAGTAGAAATAGAACAAAAGGTTGGGGTGTGAAGAGGTTTTTTTTGTTTGTTTTTGTTTTTTTAAGCAGTGTTGATGAGTTTGATATGGAGGGCAAATCTAGAATAAAGAAACCTTGTAGGTTGAGAGTTGACTCGTGTTGGTGAGCACCTGAAAAGCACATCTTCATTATTGACGGGGGCAGTGCAGTTACCTCTAAGTACTTATACAAAATCCGACGCTGGCAGTGTGCTGAGCCGAAAGGAGCAGTGTCCTAGGTGCCTGAGAGTTGGAAGAAGTGGGTTCTTGCATGAATTCTGATGAGAAGCCCGCTGTATTTCTTACCCTGGTGCTTTATTTGTAAGGTGCTCCCTGTTCCACCTTGTAATCTCATGACCTTGCTAAACTTGCTTATGAGTTCTTTTAGTTTATGAGTTCTATTAGAGGTAGAAACATCAGGAAAGGTCATTTTAATCTGCAAGTAAAGACTGTTTCTACCTTTCTAATCTATATGCCTTTAATTTATTTGTTCTTTATTTTATTGCATTGGCTGTAAGCTTAAAATGTGAGCAAAGTGGTGCAAGCTGACATCCTCACCTTATTCCTGATGGTGGATTCCAGATTGAAAAGTACTACAATGGTGTACTCACCCACAAAGTAATATAGCCAGAGAGCACTCAGTCAATCACTGAGCATAACGTCAGCTGGAGGATTTTGTTAGTTGTTCCTTATTAAGATGGGAAAGTTACCTTCTATTTCCAGTGTTCTGAACATTGTTTTTATGAAAGGCATTGCAACTTTTTACATCATTTCCGATGATCGTGTCTTTATTTTATTAATATGGTATATCACATTAGTTGACTGTGAATGTTGAAACAACCTTTTATACTTGTCCAACCTTACTTTGCCCTGGTGTACGATCCTTTTTATAGGCTGCATCTATGCCCATGGGGGGTAATAGACTGTAGTTTTCTTGTGATGTTTGGCTTTGGCAAATGGTGATATTTGCTTGAGTTGGAAAATACTTATCTTGTTTTCCAGATTTTTGCTTCATTTTGTCCTCTTACAATTTGTATCTCATTGTTTACTTATAATGATATCGCAGTTCTTTACCTGCCCTGAATGGCAGGTAAGTTTGTGATTAAGTTTGTGCCTAATCTTTGACCCCTTATTTATTTATTTAAAATATATTTTTATTGATTTCAGAGAGGAAGGGAGAGATATAGAAAGGTAGAAACATCAATGATGAGAGAATCATTGATTGGCTGCCTCAAGCATGCCCGCTACTGGGGATTGAGCCCATAACCCAGACGTGTGCCCTTGACCAGAATTGAACTTGGGGCCCTTCAGTTCAGGCAGACGATCTATCCACTGAGCCAAACCAGCTAGGGCTCTTTGACCCCTTTTTAAAATTATCTTTACCTTGCTCACTGTGCTCCAGCCATTCTGGCCTTCTTGCCTTTCCTTAAATATACCAAGTTTTTCACTACCTCAACAACTTTGTACTCACTATTCTCTTTGCCTGAAAGTTTCATGATTATTCATTGTTATTGGTTGTTTTCTCTCTCCTATTGTGGCTGTAATCCATTGTCATCACCTCAGAGAGTATTTACCTATCTTTTTTTTTAATATTTTATTGATTTTTTACAGAGAGGAAGGGAGAGAGAGATAGAGAGTTAGAAACATCGATGAGAGAGAAACATCGACCAGCCGCCTCCTGCACATCTCCCACTGGGGATGTGCCCGCAGCCCAGGTACATGCTCTTGACTGGAATCGAACCCGGGACCTTTCAGTCCACAGGCGGACGCTCTATCCACTGAGCCAAACCGGTTTCGGCAACCTATCTTATTTAAATTAACATTTTCCCCTCCCAGCCTGTCCTCATTATTCTTCATTCTCTTGCCCATTTTAGTTTATAACACTTATCACTTCCTATATTATATTAGGATTTATTTGCAAATACATTGTTTTCTTTCTGCCTTATTATAGTGTGAACTCCATGAAGTTCTGAACTTGGTCTGTTCTGTTAATCACTATTTTCAAAGGACCTAAATAAATACTTGAGTCATAATTGTTTCCAATAAATATTTGTTGAATGCAGGAATGAATTATTACACATTGTAATTATTGTTATGAAAGGAAGTATAGGGAGCTATAAGGAGATGTCCCTCAGATTATTTCCTCAAAGGAATGTCTTGGATGCAATGACATTCAATGTGAAGAAACTAGTCTAGCAAATAATAGAGGGATGAATCTCCCAGATAGCGCTAATGGCAAACACAAATGCCCTGAGCTAAGAAAAATCTTGAGAAGCTTGAGATAATTTGATGAGGTCATTCAATTTGGAGCATAAAAAATAAAAGAGAAGCCCTGACTGGTTTGGCTCAGTGGATAGAACGTTGGCTTGTGGACTGAAAGGTCCCAGGTTCGATTCCAGTCAAGGGCATGTACCTTGGTTGCAGGCACATCCCTGGTGGGGGATATGCAGGAGGCAGCTGGTCGATGTTTCTCTCTCATCGATGTTTCTAACTCTCTATCCCTCTCCCTTCCACTCTGTAAAAAATCAATAAAATATATTTTTAAAAAATAAAGGCGAATGAGATAAAGTGAAATTAGATAGCAAAGTAAAGAAAAATGATTTACCTTCTTCCTAATCAATTTGAGCATAAATATTATCTTCAGTACTTGAGAGCTCTATGTGGAGGTTTTGAAAGTAGACAAATTAGGAAGTGTATCACTGTTGAGATTAGGAAATGTGTTGCAGAAATACCATCTGGGAACTACATTGGTGGTCTTGGACCTATCCCTGTTTTGCCTTTGCCTCATGGCTGATATCCTTGAAATGATTAGTGATTCTAGACCCCGGATAAGCAGCTGAGTTTGATTTGACAATCCAATCATTGGTATTATCTAAAAGTTCTTGAAAAAGACAAAATCAAACATTTAGCAGTGGAAGTGAGGACTTCAAATTTGGTGGTAATGGGGGGAAGGGGAGCCTGAGAAAGAATAACCAGATAATCTAGAGAACAAGTATGAAGTGTCATGGAGCCGAGAAAAAGAGATTTTCATTTTTCTTTTACAATGCATTTTTTATTTTGGAGTCACTTTATTTTATTTTGTTATTTTTTGTTAATCATCACCCAAGGACATATTTTCCCATTGATTTTTTAGAGTGAGTGAAAGGGAGGGAGGGCAGGAAGGGGGGAGAGAGAGATAGAGATAGAGATAGAGAGAGAGAGAGAGAGAGAGAGATTTGTTGCCTCCCACACAGGCTAGGGATCGAATATGCAATCCATATACATGCCCTTAATCAGAATAAAACCTGAAACCCTTTGGTGTACAGGCCAACACTCTATCCACTAAGCAACACAAGGGCTATTTTGGAGTCTTTTTAGGTTTACAGAAATGTTGCTAAAATATTACAGAGATTTTCCATATACTCTAAATCCAGTTTCAATTCCCTGTAATGTTATCATTTTACATTATCTTGGTACATTTGGAAAGACTAAGAAATCATCATTACTATTAAAAAAACTACAGAGTCTATTCAGATTTCACCCATTTTCTCCTTAATGATCTTTTCCTCTTCCAGGATCCAATCCAAAATACCATGTTGTATTTAGTGCTCATGTTTGTTTAGTCAATCTGGTCTGTAAAGGTTTCTCTGAACTTCCTTACTGCTCATGATTTTAATAGTTTGGAGGAGTCATGATCAGGGGTATTTTGTAGAATGTCCCTCCATTTAAATTTGCCTAATGTTTTATCTCATGATGAGATTTGGGTTACAAGATTTTAGAAAGAATACCACAGAAGTGAAATGCCTTTCTAATCACATCAGATGAAGGGTACATGAGTCCACTTATTACAGATGATGCTACTGTGATTACTTAGTTAAAGTGGCATTTGCCAGATTTCTCTACTGGGACATTATTGTAGCTCCCTTCCCATACTTGACTCTTCGGAAATGAGTCACTAAGTTCAGCCCAGGCTCAAAAGAGAGGAAAATAACTTCTACCTCCTGGAGGAAAGAGTATTTATGTATATTATATTAAGTTCTTCATTAAGGAAGATATGTCTAAGAGAAGAGATGTTTAAAAAAAGAAGGTGTGGTCATACTCTACTGTACAATTTATACAGATGAAGAATCAGAAGACTTCATTGCTTTTGGCAAAATGAAGGTTGGGTTCTCCTTAGGAAGAAAAACAATTTAATTATAGGGATGGATGCTAGATGAGTGAGAAGGGTGAATGGCAGAGGAGGAATTAAAGACCACACATGTGAACCCTTCTTTGGATGAAAGACATTTCTGTAAAGTAAAAAGCAGACCCAGGAGAAAAAGATATAACTATTTGGAATCAAATTTATAGTTAACATGTATGTGATTTATTTGCTAATAAATGTCAAGTGTAAGTAGATGTGGCTCCCTTCCACTTAACCATGATCAGTCTATACTGGGCATTTAATAAATTTTTTTTGAACAATTGCAGGCAGCTTTGCAATTCGTCTTGACAAAATCATTTCCGCAGCCCATTTGGCTCTTCAAATCTTTACAGTTAGAATACATATCGTCATACTCGCAAGTATTGGCTGGAACAACAAAAAAAAATTAGTCACTTCATTATCATTTTCCTCCATAGCAGTAAGTAACACAAACAATAAATTCCATGTGAGTGAGGAGGAGGAAATAGAATGAACAAGTTGGCATCATTCATTATGCTCTGATGGCCATTTCCTATCTTGAGGGACATAAGGCCCCTTAGTTAAATTCACTGATTAAGGCATCATTTTCTTAATTTGAGTTTTTCCAAATATTTCTAAAATAAATGACTGGCTTTCTTCCCTCAGAAAACAGGATGAAGTGAATTTAAATAAATCTTTATGAAACTGCACTGTCCAAAAGTATAGCCACTAGCCATGTGGTTGTTTAAATTTAAATTAAATAACTTTGAAATTTCAGGTTCTCAGTGATACCAGTTACAGTTTGAGTGTGCAATAGCCAATGTGTCTAGGGACTACTTTACAGGACAGTGCAAATATTGAACATTTCCATCATCACAGAAAATTATATTAGACACTGTTGCCACGAAACTTAATGCCACCAGCCTTTCTTCAGGAGTAAGAAGTTGTTATGAGATGTGAAAGTAAAAAATATAAAAATAGAATTTTACTATTATTATTGGACATTTCCACTTGGATGTCCCTCGGTGGCCACAAATCTCAAACTAAATTCATCATCCTACCTACAAGTTTGGCATTTCTTTGGTATATTTCCCCAACTCCCAAATCAATTCACCCAATCTCAGAGGCATGGCAGTCCCCACTACTAAATAATTCAAACCAAGAACTAGGAATCTACCTGAACTCATCCCCTTCTACTTTTTATCAGCGCTTAACAAGCGCAGGTAATAAACACTGGCTGTTCTACTTTTCCCTGTCTCTCATAAACTCCCATATCTCTTCATTCATTTTGCACAAATACAGTAAAGATATTTATTTGGTTTTGAACCAATTATGGCTATATCATTCACTCAGAAAGAATGCTACAATTTAGTCAGGTGAAAGCATTTGAGAGGTAAAAATGAGTCAACTGTATTGTTCATAATACTTCTAATAATGCATCCAACTAAAAAAACCCTCTTTGTACCTCCATTCATAACAACACTGGAAATGAGATATAATATGACATTAATTTTTATTCTTTTTGCTAAAATACTTTTGAGGCTTCTGCAAATTTGATAGACATATTTAAAGTACATAAATGTTACTAGAAAAACAAAAGTGCAAACGATTATTAAATTAAACTTGATGATTCCAACTATGCTATGAGGAAAATGAGAAATTTAATATGATTAATACTTTGGTATATAAGGGACTATACTAGTATTTGGTGTGCCTGTCTAGACTGAGCTATATTCTGTGGTCTCACACCTTTATATTTGTATATACTTTCTTTTTAAAATGCCACCTTTTCTATAATAGCATTAACTTGATGAAAACAAAATTCATATTTAATTACAATAAATTATTTTCACAGAAACATTTTCAGATATGCCAAAATGTAATTGGCTCAACATAGTCACAAATATACATCCTTGGTAGATGTTTCTTTAGTTTACATATGATAACAGGCTTTCATTGAGAAAAGTACGTATATACTGAAGGATTTTAGATGTTTGCTTAAACACACTTTGTTGAGTAATTTTATCGTTGTCTTCTGCATGAAGGCATTGCTTAAGTTGGCTCCATTCAGAAGATTTCTGAATTTTTAAAAATAAGTATCAGGTTATTTCATTATACCGGTAAATTAATGACTTCAGACTTACTGCATAATCCGTTGTCACAGTGATCAGGGCAGCTGGCACAAGGTGTTCCTTTGAGGTAGGGAGTAAGGCTTCTGCCGACAATATTACCACTGAAATTTGAAATACAACATTTTTCAGTGTAGTTTATGCTCCAAGGGTAGCATCTATCACCTGATATAGCTGAGTATTTACTCAATGTTTTTCATTGTGTCACCTGAAAAACTAATATTGCCAATCTACTGTATACTCAGATAACAATGCAAAGTAAGGTAATAATTCACACATACACGCAATTCCTTGACCATAATCTCACAGTCCGAGCAAGTGAAGTGGAATAAATAGGTCTAAAGTTTTGAGAGTATATTTTAATGTGGCAACACCTTTCGTCTCTCAGTAGACATCGTCAAATTGCTGAGCAGTGTGCCCTGAGGTGCTGGCTTAGGGTAAAACCTCTCCCCTTGAGATACTGTAGAAGCTCCTATGAACCGAAGGTTGCGCAACGGAAAATGCTTAATATTAAATGGAATTTCATATTTTAAAAGGTAACTATAATTATTGACCATTTCTATAATATGGACTGGAGAAAGTAAAGCTCCAAGATAATGTTTGGCCTCTAGCTGCAGGATGGAGATATTTTCAAGCATTTTTTTTTTTTGAGGAGGTGGGTGTGTTAGGGTGGATTTTGAATGTCTAGAGGTTTTGTATGTGAGATTTTATGTTTACCAAACATGGGAATGTTAGTTAGAATAAAAGGTTTCATTAACACCAATCTCCAGGGTATAGTGGTGTTACCATGACTAGCCTGCACTTGATTGATGATGATGACTCTATTGACTGTTATCTAAAAATACAACAGAGTCAAAATGTCAATTGGACCAAGCGGTCCAAGGTCCCAAGGCAATGCATCTGAATCTCAGTCTCTCTGCACAGAATATAACTGTATCTGTGTGAGCACCTGGAAAAAAAAAGTGAAATAGATATCAAGGTGTTTCTTGCTCCTGTTTTCCTTATTACTCACTCCAACTCTTACTACAGATGCCTGGCTCCAGATGTCTCCACTCTCACAGCCAGATAGTTGGTTTGGGTGCATTCTCTTAGGACCCTTCAATTCTTTCTACTAAACCCTAACCAGTGTTTGGAGGAAAATGACTGTGACAGTCACACTTCTCAGACTGGAACCCAACCTCACCTGGCTTATCTGCAGTCTTAAAATAAATCATGCCAAAAGCTTGGTTTTTGGGGGAGCGATCTCTCCCTCCAGTGGCAAGTAATTTCAAACATCAAAAATAACCTATACTTTGTGAATATATCTTCAATATATCCATCGGAATTTTTGTGGAGAATTCAAACATATTGCTGGAGGAAGGGGTTTATTTTCAGCTATACATCAAGATATATTTGTTGTTAATCCTCACTGGAGGATATTTTTTCCATTGACTTTTAGAGAGAGTGGAAAGGGGTGGAGGGGGAGAAACACCAACTTGAGAGAGACACATGGCTTGATTGCAGCCTGCATGCATCTGTACCAGGGCTGGCAATTAAAACTGCAACCCAGGCGCGTGCCTTTGACCCTTGCATGTTCAGTCAGACATTCTAACCACTGAGCACACAGGCCAGAGCTATTAAAAAGATTTTAATGGGTAGTTTTTTCAGAGATTTTTGTGTTAAATTCTAAGAAGTGGATACTTAAGACATGACCATTTCTTGACAATTTGAAATATATCAGGAATTTCCTGAAAACCCTTTGAGGCCCAAGATTTAATTAATTCTCAATGTACACTACAGGTATTTTTAGATGAGGAGGAGTAGGAATATTTGAATACAAGGGGCTGAAATCACTAGAAAGTCATTACCATCTTCTATTTCACCTTCACCCTTGGCCTTACCATCCAACTTTCACTTTCCAGATGTGAATTTAATATAAAACTGACAGTACCAACTCTAGAGAACTACACACAACATACACCCATGGAGTAACCTGAGCCTCTGGAAAAGCAGTTGAGAGGAAAGACAAATCATGTTAATCATGATGGAAGACGGCTTCCGAATAGTAGACTCAAATGTGAGAAATTGGTCTTCTTTCTGAGAAGTTGGTTGTGTCTCAAATTTAGAACATATTTCTAAAGATTTATCTCTCCCCTTCACTGAAATGTGCTTTTGTAGTCTGTGTTGTCTATTACATGATAATTTTAACATATTAAATTGCCAATGGCATCATTGATACCAAATATGAAAGCATTTCCTTACCTGGGACAATATTGGCAAACATAGAAGTATTTCAGACTTCGTTCTTTGGGACAATAGGCAATTCCACATCCAACACGGTAAGATGAGTACCAAACAACCTACATGCCCATAAGTGCAAATATGAGAGTACGTTAGAGAAGGAAATATAAGCAAATAAATAATAAAAATTAAAAAAACTGAAAAGAATGTTACTAATGCACAATTTCATATACCTTATGGAAATACTTCAATTATTAAATTAAAGTAAAAATCTTTAAAACTAGTACATTTTCATGCATATTCACTGTTTTATCCATTCAGACTACCAAAAAATACAGAGTAAGTTTTCCTATTAAAAGCCTGCATGCTTTTGAAAATGATGGCTCACAGCTGAAATACCCACAAAATGTGAAGACTATTTTTTACCTACTGGAGATCTTCCCCCAGATTCAACATTGGAATCAGTCAAAATTTGGAGAAGCTTTCTCCTTAGGGCACTTATGGCAAAGTTTTGTGTGTGTGTGTTTGTGTGTGTGTGTGTGTGTGTGTGTTTTTCCTTACCTGGGTATAATGTCCAACCACTATATTCTTTTGTTTTGGTCCCATAGCATAGATAAAATCATTTCCCTCATCAAACCACTTTTGGATTGCATATGACCATGAATTAGGATAACTTGACTTAAAGAGATTCTCACCACAACTTCTTTTACCTAAGGAAAAAAAACAGACCATTCATGGGGAAAGCAATAAAGCATGCAATGGTTGATATTGAGAGAGAGAGAGAGAGAGAGAGAGAGAGAGAGAGAGAGAGAGAGAGAGAGATCATCAATTATCTATCTATCTATCTATCTATCTATCTATCTATCTATCTATCTATCATCTGTATCTATCAATGGAGTACCTGATCTTTAAACAAGTGTCCATAGTTGCTAACTATTCATTAATACATAGAAAGTTCCTTATCAGCTGTAAGCCAAATTGAAACCAAATATGCCAAACACATTGAGGCTGGTTCAACATGCAAAATTTTGAGTAGATGAAGTCCTCTTTCTTTCATATCTACTCCCCCTAAAGTCATTCATTTACATATTAAATTCTTCATGCGCGTATGCCTCATGTGCTCTCAACTGTGTATTGTTAGCTTGCTGAAAGCAGAAAGCAACTCATGGTCTTTCTCTTATTCTCACCCACACTTACCAGAAATTTTTCATATATAGCCACTTTAATAAATGTTTAGGGTACTTATTTTGTGTAAACTTTGAAAACAATTTTACTTTTAGTCTTTAAGCGTTCCAAGCATGAAGCAGATGACATTAGGAGGGACACTGTTTTCAAAGTTTATGGGTCTCCTTTTAATCAGCAAATCAAAATGTCACAGGCCAACTTCTCCTCAAAGAATTAGGATAACAGTGCTTTGCAGCCCTTAAACATTTCAATGTACTTTTCAAACCTTGAAATTAAGATTCACATTTGGATGGCTTGAAATGTAATGTCGACATGCTACTTAAAGGGTGTGTAAACTACTCTTGCATAGCTCCTTATGAAGGGAAGAAAGACGCTGAAATTTTAACAGTAGGTTGGGATCTTCAAAACCAGGTATTTCAATCTTTTTTTCTGAATATAAGTCATCCCTCTCAATAATTTCATTAAATTATAGAATCAAAAATAACAATGACAGTCCTACTTTCAAAACAGGTGAATTACTATTTTCAAATTGGGCTTGCCTATATCTGTCACTTGCTACTTCAAGTAAATATTTTGTTTAATTGTTGATACATATGATATCTTATTGTTTTTATGTTCCTCAATGTAGAGGTCATGTCTTTGAGGCTATTTTCGAGTCTAACATAGTATTGCATACTTTGTAAGAGCATCCAGAACACACAAAAGATTTGACTTAATGTCATCAAAAGTTAAAAAGATGCTAATGGTAAATATTTTTTGAATAAAATTCAGAACCATTTGACAAAATTCAATGTATTTTATAAATTCAAAAATAAATAGTTTTCAAAATACAAACAGGCCCCATATTATGAAAAGGGCAATGGGTTAGAAGTCTGAAATTCTAATTTTGAATTTCCCATATGTAACACTTGTTAGCAATTGTTTTCCTGCTGAGAGTGAGTCCCTTACTCTTTAAAACAGAGAAAGAAATGACATATGACCTGCTTTACTCATGAGATGGTCAAGAGGTACCAATATGACATTGTGTGAGACAGTTTTTATAAAAGACAGAACAGTAAGCACAAGGTGGTGCTTCTCCAAGCTTTCTCTCACACAGGGAGACTTTAACTTGAAAAAAGACAGCATTAGAAGCAACATTTATTCACAAGGTTTCTTAATGCAACATCCAAAAATGGCCCCTGATTATCTTACTTGTTCATCTACTCAACAAATATTTGATTTACATACCAACTTTTCGATCCTGCGAGGAACTGTGTTTGAGAACACACTTGTTTGCCCACCGTTGGGCGTTTGCTGCTGCCTTGCTGTCCCATTGCTAAAACAAAGGGGGAGAGAAGATAGGCACCTAATGACTTAAAACACAAAGGTGCATAAGATTTGTAATGAGATTGGTAGCTTCATTCACATCATTATAACTTTTTCTGTACATGCCTATTCTGATTATTCTTATAATCAAAGACCATTTTTAATGTGCCCCTTTCTGCTCCAAAAGAAATAGAGATAGTATGGCTACCCCAAGTAACTGTGAAGTCTAAAATAGTTAAGTCTATGGATGATAGCACAGCAGGAATACCTGAAGACTTTTAGCAGTGGTCTTATCCTAAATATTGCTAAACATGTACAAGTATTAACATGATTTTTCCTATAATACTGAGCTGGCATACTTAATTTCTAGTTCCTTTTGTTTGTTTGTTTGTTTCCGCATTTAATATGTTTCTGAGACATTTGGCTTCTGGCACTAGGCCCAGACTGGTCTGTTATTTACCCTAAACGTCATTGATCCTAAAGGGAAAATGCCTTCCTGATTATAGATTGGGAGGAGATAGTGATCAGAAAAACATAATGGTCCCTTAGTGGATGTCCAAAGATTTGGTTTTAATTCTGCCTCCATAACTTAAACAACCCTGTAAAATAGACAAGTTGTTTAACCATTAATAAAGTACAATTAAGAATCTGTGCTGCCCAGCCTTAGTGGTTCAGTGATTGAGCATCGAGCTATGGCCCAGGATGTCATGGGTTCGATTCCTGGTCAGGGCACATGCCCAGGTTGCAGGCTTAATCCCCAGTGTGGGGCATGCAGGAGGCAGCCAATCAATGATTCTCTCTCATCATTCATGTTTCTATCTCTCTCCCTCTCCCTTCCTCTCTGAAATCAATAAAAAAATATATTTTTTTTTAAAAAAGAATTTGTGCCAACTTAAATAGCCCCATAAAATGAACAAGTTATTAAGAATTAAGAATTAAGAATTAAGAATTAAGAATGAACAAGTTATTACAATTAAGAATTTCTGCCTTGTCCCATGGAGTTAGTGAAGGTCAAGTTTTGGACCCCTCACTTGCATAGGCCCTGCCAAGGTTGTACTACGGGACCTCAGAATATGCATAGTCATAAAAAAATTTTTTTTCAGTGTTAAGATAGTTGTGTACTCTCTTCTCTTCCTTTAAGCTTCAAGTCAGCAACACTTGAATTTCCTGGTCTAACAACATGTCTCTGAGGAAAGGTCTAGGGTTCAAGGTGAAACCTATGTGGGTGGAGTGGACATTAATAATAAGGATGATGTCGATGATGACTGTAGGTTGTCTGACTGTACGGAGAGGAGCTGCACAGAAGAGCTGCCTATAGCCAGAGAACTTATTGGGTCAAAACAAACAGAAAAGGCCCAGTGAAAGTGTCTAAACGTCAATTTATCAAGGTCAGATGGCACACACTAACCTCAGGGTCGGGGTTCCTAAATGGGCTTCAGGGGTTCCCTGGGTCCCCTGAAATTGTATGCAATTTATATAAACATACAATATATAATTTCTCTGGGAAGAGACATTTCACTCACAAAGACCGAGAACTCTGAAATGCACATGATAGTGAATCAATTCTGACAGATCACATTATTCTAGTGAATTGAACATACAATGGTAGGATGATACACAATTTTTAAGAAAAATGGTATGTGGAATGAGGAAAAGTACTTCTGCCATGTCAATAACAAAGCTCTCATGAACTATCAGAGACAGAACTTAAGTCACAAAGTTCTTCGAGGTCTTTTTTACTAGGAGGCTGTGATGATCACAACTGGCTCAAGCCACTTTCCTGTGTGGCCACCTCTTACCATCTTCAGCATGTTTCTGGCCGGTGGAGAGACTGATCTTCTTACTTCATTGTGTTTATTTACAATCTCTCTTTGCACTTCTCTTCGGCCGGTTGCCATAGCAGCAAAACCTGGCTTCTAAAGGAAAGCCAAATCAGAATGAGTTTTTAAAAGTTTGAAAAATTGCATATGAGCAAATTAATTCAAGAGCACAGAGATTATTTCAAAAGTATTCAGTTCAAGCTGATATTAATTGTTAAGCATTGCCAATGAACCTGAACCCAAGCTATGATTTTTAAATAGAAAAGAAATAGTGTTAAATTTTGAGAGTGTGGATGTTATTCATGCCATGACAATTCAAAACACCTCTGAGGCCACAAATACCACTTTCTAGTATGAAGAGACGTCTCAATGTGATTGGTAGACATCTGAGTGATAGCATAATGACAAAGTTGTACGATGGGAACCATTAAGACATTTTCATTCACAGTCAGGCTGCAGCAAGGGAGTGATAAGAGGAGGGTCATGTGACTCTACACTTGAAGGGGGAACTTTGACCCGACATGGTACCTGTATTCAAAGAAAGAACGTTTAGGCCTAGTCCAGTGATGGCGAACCTACAACACGCATGTCAGAACTCATTTTTTGGTTGATTTTTTTTTTTGTTAAATGGCATTTAAATATATAAAATAAATATAAAAAATATAAGTCTTTGTTTTACTATGGTTGCAAATAGCAAAAAATTTCTGTATATGACACGGCACCAGAGTTAAGTTAGGGTTTTTCAAAATGCTGACACGCCGAGCTCAAAAGGTTCGCCATCACTGGCCCTAGTCCAAGTGCATTCAATAATCTATGATTTACCTGTTATGTAGCTGCTCTTATGGAATTAATCAAAAGACAGTTTTCTAATATTAAACAAATCTCCAAGGCAATTTGGAGGGAGCAAGCAATTAATGGGCTATTGCTGGTTTTGTTCATTTTAGTAACAAAAATGTAATTAAGGTATTAATCAGATGCTCATATTTTTGGTATATCTTTGTGTGTGTGTGTGGGGGGGGGGGTGTCTAAGTATAGAGGCAAGTAGGCTGTGTAATTGTTCCATAAAGTTTACACAATTTGATGGCCTAAATTTGCACAAGAGTGTGATGTTATACGAGCATGTGCAACATTGGGAAGTATAATTCTCAACAGACAAAACCCTTTATTGATTTTCCCTGACACTCTGGAATAACTTATTCTCTCTTTCCACAAACACTGAGCTTTTGCACAGTCCTCCAAATACTGCAAGCATCAGTCTGACCGTACTCATGTTGCCACTATCTACTTAGGCATCCATTTCTCCACCTGCATGTATATTCCTAAGGGCAGGGACCAAGACTGAATGTCAGCATACCCACAGATCCGGCACATTCCCAGCCACTGATTCCTAAGTTGAAAAGGATGCACATGAATATTAGCAGTGACCAATCAAAGCATAAAATAATGTCCCTGGATATATCCTATTAGCCCTCAGAAACCTATTTAAAATCGTTTTATTTCAAAGCATATCAAAATGTGGTGCCTCAGAAAGAAGAAGTAATTATTTCCTACTTCTTACCCCATCTTGTTTTGTAGATAACAATTCTACCAAAAAATGCATACCTTTGTTTCTTTTTTAACAAATATTAATAAAAGTTTTATTAGGTGATGAGAAATATGAAAGTGTTGAAAATAAAATGGATAAATATGGTTTCTATCTATCATTAAAAACTGATATTCAATAGGCAATATGACATAAATAATTATAATGCCACATAATAAATAAAATGATAGGCGGGATCGACTAGATATAGAGGAAGGAATGCGGGATCAATTTTTCCTGATTGGGGTTAGGAAAGGCTTCACAAAAGATGGCCTGGATTGGGGTTTTGAGAGGTGAATAATGTTTTCTAGGCATTTTGAGAGGCACAGAAAGCCCTGGGCAGAGGGAATTTAGAGCATCAGATCAGCAAACATTTAATGACGCAAAGGATCTAGTGATAGTGCCCTTTTTAATGATTTTATAAATGAAAACCAGGATATGGATGAGAGAGTTAATAAGATATCAGAAAAGGCTATGAAAGAATATCTCTAGGAAAGAAATTGGGAAGACAGTAAATGACTTGAATGAAGCTCTGAGTGATGGATATATTGTCTTCAGATTGAAAAGTTGATTAATAATGATTGCATTTCTGAATGCCAAATGAGGTCTGACCCAGTGTCAGAATTCTCTGCTATAGGGGTCCTAGCTAACCTTGTATGCCCAATGCTAAAGAAGGCTGTATAAACAGACAGCCAGAACCAAAGGTCCTCACATTCACAGGTTCTCTGATCAGGAAATAGATTTCTTATATGAGCACTTCACACCAATTAAAGAGGGTAATTGATACTTCTCTTGGGATTGTTAAAGTAAAACAACATATTAGAAATAATTAGAGCATCTTATCTTAAACAAATTAATTGAAAAAGTTATAAAAAAATCCAAACGCTTAATATTTCCAGTAAATTTTCTTTTTTAAAAATTAAAAAAAGATATACTTATTCTCACAGAGTAACTGAAAATTAAATGTGGTGATGTATGTGAAGAAGTTTTGCTAGTTTGAGATTATGCAAATATATTGTTAATTTTCGGTGAGGATCACATTGAAGTAGATTAAATAAAAGTAAATCAGAAAATGATCATGAGATTAGAGGAGTTTCATTAGCTTTTAAACACATAGACCAGTGCTGTCAATAGAAAAATAATTAAAGCATCAAAGGACATTTTAATTTTTTGGTGGCTACTTTCCTAAAGAAAAAAATAGGTTAAATTAAAATTTATAATACATTTTTAAAACATATTCAAAATATATGCTTCTGTCATACAATCCATATTAAAATTATTAATGAGATACTTTACCACCCTTTTTTAGCTAAGTCTTTGAAGTCTGCTATGCATTATATTCATGCAGATCTCAGTTCTGACTACCAATATGTCCTGAGTTCAATACCTTCATGTGTTTAAGGGCTACCGTACCTTGTGATGTCCCAGACACACACTCCCTTTCTACTTTGGAAAATTAATCTAATTGCTTGCTGTCTTTCAGGGTTGCCTGATCTGAAAATATTTTCAACCTCGACCATACCTGTCCATTTGCAGGAAAGAATGGAAGCAACACAGCAACCAGAAACAGCAACGCCGGGAGCAACGCCATTGCTGGTAAAACAAAACAAAGGCAACAGGACCTGAGTTGGAATTTTAGTGCATGAACTTCTGAGGAACACAGTGATGGAGGGTGGGGGAGGGAAGAGGGGGTGATGAAACAAGGTAATGATATAATTTATCCTAAATTCATTAGTAATGTAACACGAGAGGTTCTGTCACAGGAAACCAGTAGAATAATAATGGATTCAGCCCCCGAAGCAAGCTTGTAACGGAGACAACAAAGAACAGAGAGATGCACTTCATTGAAATAGTGCACCTGTAAATATTAAAGTTCCACCACCCAATTCCACCCTAGTCCCACGATTTTGTTTATGTAGCAGTTCTTTCAAGGTCTAGGAATGGCTTCACATTGCCCATATAGGAGTAATAATAGCTCCTGTTACTATTATGGGGATACTACTGCACTAGTCCTTGCTAGTTTCCTTGATCCTCCTTATCTTTATAAATACCCTTATTAACGTCTCTTCAATTTACCCCTCAGCTTATGCCATTTCTTCCTTCTGATTCACATATTTGCCATTTGTAAAATCCTAGGTAAATCCTCTAAGAAATAGTGATTTAAAAAAAAAATACTTTCTACCACTCTCTTCAGTCCTTTCCATGTGTTGTCATCCATTCACACTGAAACCTTTATTTTTATTACAATGCCTCAAATTCCAGAAAAAGGCAATACTCTCCTTTGGAAATAAAAACAGAAAAATCACTTTTAAGAGACTATTGACCTGTATTAATAATCTTCATATGTTCGCACCTTTTGCCTCACTAATTCAACTTCCTGAAGAAATAATATATACTGGAAAAACTTTAGGCGTACATTTTTATCACATTAATATTCATAAGGGTAAAACAATTACATGCTCACCAACAGGGAGATAAAATGTTGAAATAAATTAGAATACATCCTTTTATTAGAAAATATGAGACATAAAATTATGTTTATGATGGTTTTATAACAAGGAAAATGCATAAGCTTCAAAATTAAGTTAAAAAATAACACCAAGGTACATTGGGTTATCCTTAGCCTTCAATAATGGATAGAAGTCTGTGCCCTCCCATAATTCACATATTCAAGCACTAACCTTCTATGAGGCTATATTTGTGTTTGGGTCTTTAAAAAAGTAGTTAAGGAAAAATGAGGACATAAAGATGGGACCTGATCCAATAGGATTAGTGTTTATATATGGAGACACTAGAGAGTGCATTTGCTCTGTGCATGTGCTCTCTCTCTTTCTCTTTCTCTCTCTCTCTCTCTCTCTCTCTCTCTCTCCCCTTTGCACACACAGAGAAGAGGCCATGTGAGAATTCATTGAGAAAGGGGCTGTCTGCAAGCCAGGAAGAGAAAAATCACCAGAAATTGACCACACTGATACCTTGGTCTCAGATTCTAACCTCTAGAGCTGTGAGGAAATAAATATCTGTGATGTTTAAGTCACCCACTCTGTGGTCATTTGTTATGGCAGCCCAGGCAGACTCATGTACATTCTCTTATTTACTAGTAATACTAGAGGCCTGGTGCACAAAATTTGTGCACTCAAGGGGGGTGGAAGGGTCCCTCAGCCTAGCCTGTATCCTCTTGCAGTCCAGGAGCCCTTGGGGGATGTCCGACTGATGGCTTGGGCCCACTGCCCTTGCTCACCAGCCATGATCCTGCCTTCAGGCTGAGCGGCATTCCTCCTGTAGGAGCGCACTGACCACCAGGGGGCAGCTCCTGCATTGCACGTCTTCCCCCTGGTGGTCAGTGCACGTCATAGCAACTGGTTGTTTCGTCATTTGGTCAATTTTCATATTAGTCTTTTATTATATAGGATTTGAGGACTATCTTATTTTCAAGAATGTGCCAAGGTCCATAGCATATACTAATTTGAAATCTTCTGGAGCCACAGATGTGTGAGCAAGGCATTGAGATAGCAGGGTATCTGCAACCACCACCAAGCATCCATATTTCAAGGCAGCTTTGCTTCTCAAATGGGCATATGAAGAAAACTCTGTGACATAGCTATCTGGGGCCAATTTTAAGATAAAGTAACAGAAAAGAAATTATTTTGTAGTGGCATTGATGATCTCAATGTGTAGGGACATCTGGAAATGAGTGCATTATGACTCTCCTGGAGGACAGTAACAGCAACAGGACCTCATCCCCTTCTCCCACAGAACTTATGCTCGGACACAAAGCCAGGCAAAGAAAAGATGAGATTAAACAGAAATACAAGAAGATGAGTTTATCCTCACGTGATAAGACATACTTTTCTTCATTTCCTATAATGAGTCTACATTCCTATAATTACAGTAATTGGAAAAAGAAAATATCTTTGTGCCAAAGATACTATTACCTCTTGGAAAATTCCTCTGTCTCTGTCTTGGTTACTTTTTTTTTGCAACTTGGTGTAGCTAATAGGTCAGGAATTATAATGTCCAAGTAAGAGAAGTACAGAGGCATAGAGGTATTAAGTGACCTCCTGACAGTCTCATTGCTAGTGTGTAGCTGAGGCAGAACCCAAGATTTCTTTTAGCCTCAATGTCTATATCCCACTGAACTATGCTATACATGTTGGGGGCTGAGGTTTCAAAATAAATAAATATTTTTCCTTGGAAAAACTAGTCATGCATTACTATAAGTATTTTGGCAGCTGATAAATGTTGATTACTCAACATGTTTGAGAAAAAAATTTTGAAATTAACAATATTAACAATTAAGTACAATTTTGACCTTCAAATATAAAATAAAACTCCTAAGACTTTGAGAGCTCAAATAATATTTTCTTAGGATGTCATTATAAGTTAAAAACATAACCCGTTATGATAACTTTTACTTATGTTATTTTGTTGAACTAATGAAGGATTTTGTTGACATTTTAATAAAGTGATTTTTCCCTTTAAATAACTAGAATGGAAAGGGGGTGTGTGTTGAAATGGAAATCACAAAATTGATAACATATTCCTGTAAGGGTTCTGTAACAAATAAAAATTATATAGGTGTTTCTATAATGTTTTTTAAATTTAATCTCTTCTATATAATTAAAATTTTATTCATAACAATAAGAAAAGGTTTATTTTGTTTGTATTATAGTTTTGAGGTAGAACAGAGGAAGGAGTGAAGAACAGAATGAAAATTTGAAGACAAAAAATGAAAAACCTGGAAAGAAAAATGAACTTATTTCTGTACAAAGCAAACACACAAGCTGAATGTCAAAAATAGCCATTTTTATTTCTCAGACATACCTGGTCCCCTATTGAGCAAACCTGAACTCTGGCACCTGTATTGTGATAAAGAAATGAGAGCAAAGTGAGGGTTAGGAAGCCCGGGTTTTTGTTATTGTTGTCATTTGGCATTCTATTACCCGGCTCCTCTTTAACTAGAAGAAATTTACAATCTTCATTTGTCAAATAAAAACATGGTGGCATAGGGTCACCTCATATTCTGAGGTTTAAAGTTATAAGTAACATTAAAAAATTTGAAAGCATTAAAAAATCACTATATACATACAAGTACTAGCATTAACATTGCTACTTGTATTATCATTTGTGATGCTTGCTTCCTTACATGTGAGTATTGCCAGCAAAAATCTCAGGGATGGCGTTTGCTGGAAACAGCCACCTGGTCCAAGATCACGCTTCCTTCCTAGGGTACCCTCATCCTATGTCTATCAGGTATGAGGTGTAGAGGCCTGACTTCCCAGTCCAACTAGTGACAACTCTGAAACATGATCCTGGCTTCAGAACCACTCCGAAGTAGTTGATTGGCTGAATCCTCCAATGAGACGACATTCCAGCTTGATTTCTTACCTTTGTCCAATCTTACTTCCTTCCCTTCCCTTCTTGGGGAATTAATCCCAAGTATATCCTATCTAATAAAAGACAAAAAGGGTAATTAACCATACCTCCGCTACGCTTCCTATTGGCTAATCAGCAGGATATGCAAATTAACTGTCAACAAAGATGGCAGCCAGCAGCCACGCAGCTGAAGCAAACATGAGGCTTGCTTGCTCCAGTGATGGAAGAAGCCAAGGTTCCCCGCCTGCCGCGGTCCGGCTCTGAGCCCGAAAGCAACAATGTTTCAATTATAGAAGCTAAACAAACCCCAGATACCTGCTTTTAGCTGGCCGCAGAGGGCCATGATGACAACAATGTTTCAATTATAGAAAGTAAATAAATCCCAGAGAAAAAAAAGAAAAGAAAAAAAGGAGAGGCTGGGAGCTTCAGTCCCAGCCAGCCTGAAAACGGCCCTCAGCCCCTCACACAGACTGGTCAGGCACTCCAGTGGAGACCCCCACCCTAAAGGGGGTGTGACCAGCTGCAAACAGCCATAAGCCCCTCACCCAGGCTGTCCAGGCACCCAAGCAGGACCCCCACTCTGATCCGGGACAGCCTTCAAGGCAAACCAGTTGGCCCCCACCCATGCACCAGGCCTCTATTCTATATAGTAAAAGGGTAATATGCAAACTGACCCTAACAGCAGATAGACTGGGAATGACTGGTCACTATGACACACACTGACCACCAGGAGGCTGACGCTCAATGCAGGAGCTGCCCTCTGGTGGTCAACCGCTCCCACATGGGGGAGGTCTGCTCAGCCACAAGCCAGGCTGATGGCTGCCAGTACAGCAGCGCTGAGGATGTCTGACTGCAGCTTAGGTCTGCTCCGCGCTGGCAAGTGGACATCCCCCGAGGGCTGCCGGGCTGCCATAGGGATGTCTGACTTCCATCTTAGGCCCAAATCCCCCGGGGAGCAGGCCTAAGCCATCAGGTGGTCATCCCCCGAGGGATCCCAGACTGTGAGAGGGCACAGGCCAGGCTGAGGGACCCCCCCTCCCCAAGTGCACAAATTTTTGTGCACTGGGCCTCTAGTCTCTTAATAAACTGTGTCTCCGATTTTTTTCACATTGCCTGGGAACCCAAACTGGGGCATCATTTATTAGATTATCTTTATTCCATTACACTAGTCAACATAGTGTCCCTATTCCTATTTACACTTTTATTATCTCTTCCTTTGATCCTATGCCCTTTATGCCTTTGATCATGTTAATCCTCAACTTGGATACTAACCACATTTTTTGATAACATTTCAAAGTCTCTCTCTTTCCAAAGAAACTCACAGGCCAACAACAAAAACACTGATCTTGCCCCTGAATAGGAGTATTTTAAAGTTCAACCAGCAAACTTTTGCTTATATTCCATTTTTTTCTGCTCATGTGCAGGATCTACTTTCTGCAAATGTACTTCATGTACCTTTGCCTTTTTTCCATAATTAGATTGTGTGTTTGGAAAAGGCAAAATACAATCATCACATTATTTTCAATTCCTTGTGGCTAACCTGTCCTCGCTCAGTGGTGGAGCTGCAGAAGCTTTTGGACTCTCCAGAGGACTCTCTCTTAGGCCTGTGTCCTTGGGCAAGCCCCTCCCTCTGGCTCTGGCCTCCAGTGAGCCTCTTGGAGAATTTGAGCAATGGAGATGAACTGATTCTCCTTTTTTTTTTTTTTACAAGCTAATGACAATCAGATATTGTTTTTTCTTTTAACACACATTCATCAAGTTTTACTCCCTTTTTCTAGGGTAGCATGCTAGATATTGCTGACCATGATCAAGTGAACAAAATATGCTTCCTGCCAGCCCTCAGCATCCTAGCTCACCATCAGGGGAGTCCACCATTCACATACGCAGAGTGTGGGCTATTTGGACTGTCCCAGGTGTGCAAAAGTGTAGGTTAAAGTTTTATTTTCTTTGGCCCTGACAAATTGTGATGCTTGTGCAAAAGGATGGGGAGAACCTAGACTAACGCAGGGCTCTGGAAGTAAGTATTAAGGATGAGGTAAATGCAATTAAGATTTAGCATCAGCTGGAAGACCAAAGCATTTACCTCCACTCCCTTCCTCTTCCCCTGGTGCTAATAGAATATGGTGTAATTTGTTTTCATGGAGGAGAGTCCCACAGAAAAACATTAGAAAGAATAAGGTAAATAACTGCCTCTTCCTGTCGTGGACTTGCATGTAGACAATTTCCAAATGTGTGTAGTTACACATTTCCTCTGCTAACCACTGAGGGATACACATTTTAATTCTTTTAAAATCATTTCCTTAAAAACAGTTATTTTGCTAAGTGTAAGTTCCCAAGTCTCTCTCCACTCTGCTGTCTGTAATTCTCCTTTTTTTAAAGAGATTAGTAATTTCTCTTAAGTGTGATTAGAGAAAAGCCAAATTGAGACATTTCAAAGATGTGTAGTTCCATATGTTGAGGGCTTACTACTATGTAATTACAGACCACAGACAGCAAGCCGTGTCTTTCTGAAGCATAAATGTAAATGATACAATTAAACTGTAATATACTGCTCCTTCCTCACATTGATGTTAGGGCCACCCCTATGTTTCAAAGGCTCACTTGAAAATAAGTCCTTTTCTCAAATGACATATCCCTGTTTATTAACTTAATAAAAACATATATTTATAAAAATTAAACCAAAATTAGAAAATTCACAGACTAAAAAATTATGTAGCAAAAAAAAAAAAAAAAAGAACAGAGACAGAGGAGATCATTAATTCATAATGACATTCTACTAAACTAGAGGCCCGATGCATGAAATTCATCAAGAGTAGGTCTTCCTGCCCTAGCTGGTTTGGCTCAGTGGATAGAACGTCAGCCTGAGGACTGAAAGGTCCCGGGTTCAATTCCGGTCAAGGGCATGTACCTTGGTTGTGGGCACATCCCCAGTAGGGGGTGTGCAGGAGGCAGCTGATCAATGTTTCTCTCTCATCGATGTTTCTAACTCTCTATCCTTCTCCCTTCCTCTCTGTAAAAAATCAATAAAATATATTTAAAAAAAAAAGAGTAGGTCTTCCTTCCACAGCTGCTGGTGCTGACTTCCCTCTGGCACCCGGGACCTGGCTTCCCTCGCAGCCTCGGCTTCCTCTGGAAGGTCTAATTGCCATATCATGCTTTTATGATTATAGATATCAACAGCAAATATTCTAGTTATGTGAGAAACGAGGAGCATTCTATTTAATATTGGGAACAAGAAAAAAATGACTTATGTGGCTGTTATTGTTCAACATTGAAGTGGAGGGTTTCTGAACAAAACCATAACAAAAGGAAAAAAAAAAATATATATATATATATATATATATATATATATATATTCATTAGTCTTGCAAGGGAAGAGATAAATATTATTATGCTCAAATGATATGGTCACCTATCTAGAAATTACACCATAATCAACAAGTTTGCTAGGTGTCATATCAACTTACAAAAATACTATAGCCATATAGCAGCAACATTCAACTAGAAAATAAAATTTAAAGAAAGATGCTGCCCATAACTGTAACAAAAACTATAAAATATATATATATAAAATAACCGAGAAAAAAATCCTTTTTGGGGAAAACTTTAAAACCCTAGTAAAAGCCCTAGCCGGTTTGGCTGAGTGGATAGAGCGTTGGTCTGCGGACTGAAGGGTCCTGTGTTCGATTCCAGTCAAGCGCACATGCCTGGTTGCAGGCTCGATCCACAGTGGGGGGCGTGCAGGAGGCAGCCGATCAATGATTCTCTCTCATCATTGATGTTTCTGTCTATTCTCCCTCTCTCTTCCTATCTGAAATAACATAAATAAATAACATAAATAATTTTTAATTTATAAAAATTAAACCAAAATTAGAAAATTCACAGACTAACAGAGACAGGGGAGATCATTAATTCATAATGACATTATACTAAACTAAGGCCTGATGCACAAAATTCGTCAAGAGTAGGTCTTCCTACTCTTGTAAATCCTAGTAAAAGACATGAAATATCTGCATAAATTGAAGTTTTCCATGCTTCTAACTTGTATGTGTTGATATAATAAAGATAGCAATTTGAATTAAACTAATATGTTCTTTATAAGTTTTTTATAATTCTAATAAGAATTCTGATCAGCATATGAATAATGAAGCAAACCTTTTATAAGAAGAAGTAACATGGGCATCTTTTCATATTTAATTATTAAGATAGACTTCAAACTTACTTTGACAAAAATGTGATACTATTGTAGGAGCAGACACATGGACCTAGAGAGGTGAATAGAAATTTGAAGAGACAAACCAAACAAGGTAGCATAAAAATCTATTTAGGAGGAAGAGTAGGTTACTTAACATACAGTGTTAGAAAAATTAGCTCACTGTATGGAGAAAAATAAAAACAGATCCTTCTTAAGCATCACCTATAAAGGTGAATGTAGAGAGATTAGACTTATAAATAGGTAAAAAAAAAAAAAAAAGTAAGTTTAATGCAACTTTTCAGGGCTATCCCTTTGCCCTAAGTGAGTCTCACATAACCATGATGTTATATGGTGCTGGTGTATATGTGTGAAGCACTGTACCCCTCTTTTGGGCTCATTTAAAGCTCCTAAGAACCTAGGTATTAGATGATGTTACTCAGTACCCCAGTTTACAGCTAGCAGTCCTAGAATCTGAGATTTCATAATGAAATGCCATGAACTTGCACGCAGAACTGGGAGATAAACCCACACACTTTAACCTCAAAGCCCTCATCCCTGAAAGGAGGGAAGAGAAATGTTTTAAACAATACAGACCATAAAAGAGGCCTTTAAAAGCATTGATGCACATGCGTGTAACGTGTGCAAAATAGGTATAGACACACACACACACATACATATATACTAATCACAGCACAGAAAAGTATCTGATACAACATTTTCAAACTCTCAATGTGATATGTGATCTTCATTCTGATCACTTTCTTTCACCACTTACTACTCTGTAAGAGAGAAAGCAGCTTAGACACTATACAACGTTTGCAAACTTTCTGGACTTTGTCATGAGGGAAATCTGTAAAAATTTCTAAATGATAATAACTGCTTTGACAGTTCTGAAAAACATTTTTTTTTCTTTTTTCAAGGATGATTCACCCAGCCCCCCCTTGCTTGAATTTACTAAACATCTCTGTAATTCTGAGCATTATCTGAGTTACACACTATTTGAGAGTTCTGCCGCTCTTCCTCCCAACATACTTCTTCCTCAAACCCGAGCCCAATTCAGTGGCCCCAGCTGACTTCCCACACGTCAGAGAGTAGCTCCAGGCTGAAAACATGTCATCAGTTTAATTTCCTTTGATTCTCCTCCAGAGAGTTAGCCATCCAGGCAGACACTGGTATTGGCCTTAACCATCGGAAGAGGCATCTTCAGATCTTCTCTGGCAATAGTATAAGTCCTCCCTAAGCTCCCTGCCTCACATCCAGCCTCGGGGGGGGAAAAGATTTCGAAAGTAAAATCTTCCCTCTCCGAGGTAAATAACTTCTCACATGTTGTCCTAGGTTAGCTCTGTGGTTTTTTAGTTTCTGTTTCTCCAGAGTCACTTCTTATTATTAGAAACATAAAGTTCTATGTGGAAATTGCTTCCTTATATAAAACATACAAAACAGACATTCTACTTAATTATTTATGCAAATTAGTACATTGACTTTTGATTGGGAATTTTCAGAAAGTCCTAAAAAATTTTGTATAAGTTGAGTGCATTTTATGGGGGAAATTGTATCTTAGACTGATAATCTTTAATAGAATATTTTTTTTATCTCAAGTAAGTACTATAATTTGGTTTTGATAGATTTAAAACTATGAACAACACCTTCCCATTCTTAGTTTAATAATGTCTGCATTAACACAGATCCATATATGTGAATATTAGTAAATTATTAATGTGTGGACATATGCACACACATATGGCCATACTTTTTTATTTTTCTATTAAAGGGAGTTTTAGTATAATTGTTTCCAAAAGTCATAGACATGGAAATGAGTTGTATCGCTTATTTTATAATAAAAAGCAAAAAATTCATACAGATGTTAAATTTGATAAAAGTGCTTTTGCTATATTAGAGCTATTAAGAAGAGTATAATAACTTAAGGTTATTATTCTCTATAAAAGTTATCAATAGGGTTTCTGAAAATCATAGATTCATTTACTAGCTATCATTTACCACTGCCAAGGCATAAACATATTGGCATCATAAAATGTTCACCTCAAAATAGAGCAGTTGTCACTTACGGTTGGTGCTCAGAGCAAGGTAAAGAGTCTGCTTTATCTGTAGGAAGAAAGAAAGCAGGAGGAGAGAAGACTAGAGAGGTATATATGCATTACTCCTATTTCCTGTCTTTGGCAAACACTGTTTGTGCAAGTAAATCTAAACCAACAAAGTCTGAAACAGGATTTGTCATACCAATAGTCTCAAATTTCATTGTTGGTTGTCTAACTGAAGTTTTGGGATTCTCCTCATGGCGTTTTTAAGTAAATGGCTATTGCAAATTTAACTATTGGACCCTTAGTCTTTGGAGCTCATATACTATTATAATTTATCCTCATTTTTGCCAATTAATATTTTGACAATTCTGAACCAAATTATTCTCATTACAACATTAGAGTTTTCAAGTTTACTTCTGTATGAGTAAAGCTAAGCTTATTATTTTCATCAACTATGGAGAATACAATATTTTCTTACAATGATCTAAGATATTCATTAGTATTCTGTTGGACCTTACTGTTTTGGAGAATAATTAATATTTTATGTTTATATAAGATCACAGTGCCTTTCAAATGGCAAAAGACCAAATAACTGTTGGTATTTCTAAGTTTTAAATTCTCTTGATATTAAAATTGTTTTTTTCTGGTTGTATGGAGTGCAAGATACCCTTGATCTAAATTACATAGTAAGTTATCAGCATTTGATTCTGTTCATCCATAAAAAGGCTTTAATTATTGCAGGTTTGTTTCCATATCTCACAAATGAAAAAGGGTGGACTAATAATTTCAGGTTCTCTCTACCTCTAAAGTGTAATGATTTTAAATATTACTTTTTTATAAATGAAGGAGTATAAATAAATCACAGGTAGTGCATACATAGCACTGTCGCTATGTCACTGGGTGCTCATGTTAGCATACAGTTTGCACAATGTGGTGTGAAATTCAATCATCTCCGTTCATTTAAAGTTTATACTAGCTTGATTGAGTTACATGGCAAAAGGTACTAGCGTAGACCAGTGCCTGTGATATGATAGCACATAATTTAATTATAGCTAATTATAAGTTAAATAATTGAATATTGCTTTAAATGTTATCTATAAGAGAGTTTAGAACTCCAGATAGATTTTGCCATAAAATAAAAATAAAGCTTCAACCATTCAGCTGCTAAGTCTCCAGTTAATCTCTAAAATATATATTGCGCCATTTCATGTGATGTGGGAGCTCTCAATAAGCTGAATCACCACTAGAATCAAGTCACCTTGGAGTCACTGTCTATGCAATGATTTTTCTATGGGAGGATGTGTTCTGTGGGCAAGACCAGATCCAGAAGCACCCTGAGCCCAATCCTACTCTCTACTTAAAGTTGTGGAATATTGTTAACAGAGATGGTATGCATGACTAAGTAGTTCTATGAGAAAAGTGGATGAAAAAGTGTACAAAAATGAGAAATTATATATATATAAAAACTTATTATTAGCACTTATTAGATATTCTCTAATTTTATATCCATAGTTATGATGAAGTGATCACTACATTCACCATGCTACTTAGGTATTTTGCTTGTCAAATATTAGCACTCTTATTATTAAGTTAAACAAATACTAAAAAACGTGGCCCTTTAGGATTATAAAATACCACACATGTACTGGACTGACAGATTGACCTTAAGCTTTCAAAATTGTTTGAAAACACCTTTGTTCCTTCACCTCCCAGGATTAATATGTCCTTTTCTGTATGTACATCAAGCATGGTCATTGTTGGTCCTTCATGACCCAGCCCTCCCAATTTTATCAATGAGAATATGCCAGCTTATATGTATTTGAATACCCAGAGTTTATGTTAAAAGGGCCAATCATTTGCTCCTGTGTATATAGTTAATTCCAACTGTTCTAATTGAATTCATAATTGAGTATTGATCTCAGTGACCATTGCTATTAATCAATACATTCTGTTTAGGGCAGTGGTTCTAAACCTTCCTAATGCAGAGACCCTTTAATACAGTTTCTCATGTTGTGGTGACCCCCAACCATAAAATTATTTTCATTGCTACTTCATAACTGTAATTTTGCTATTGTTATGAATCATAATGTAAATATCTGATATGCAGGATGTATTTTCATTGTTACAAATTGAACATAATTAAAGCATAGTGATTCATCACAAAAACAATATGTAATTATATATGTGTTTTCCGATGGTCTTCGGCGACCCCTGTAAAAGGGTCGTTCGACCCCCAAAGGGGTCGCGACCCACAGGTTGAGAACCACTGCTTTAGGGAATGTTGTTTTTCTTACTTCTTAAAACTACTTCTCTATTCTTGGGTTTTGACCAGTACACTCTGACCAGGTTGGCTAAATAAAACACAGGTTCTCTCCTTCCCTAACTGGCTGCTGCCTTTTGGGCACTTCTGTGCTGACCACCCCAAACTAACTAGTTACTACAAAGGTAAATAGCATCCCTGCCTTATAGCTGACCCTCATGGCCCAGATTTCTATGACTTTTCCTTCCCAGGTAACAACTATCTACTAGTTAAGAGCACAGTCCTTGGAAACTGTCAGGTCTGGGAAATCTCCAAGTTCCGGTTTTCTCTTCCATAAAATGTTGATTTTCATATCATAGGTTTGCTTTGATGATTGAAAGCATATTATATTTAAAATTATTAAAACAATACCTGGCATCTGATGCTCAATAAATGGCACTAACGTTTTTATTGTCATTTTCAGCAAAACCTTGTATTTTTTGAGCATCTAAAATGTTTCCATAAATGCCTTTTGTTTGACACAGTTGCTAAAACAGACGTTTTTATAAGATCTTTTCTGTTATTAGACATCATGGGAAAGAATCAGTATAATTTAAGCAGTCAATGTAAGGCCCAGTTCTATTAGAGACAATCAGGGTGACATTAGTAAAAGGATTGATCATCTCTGGTCTTCTGTATCCTTGCTAAGAATTGAGGAGGCTAGACCTAGACTCATTTTAGAATTAACATTAATTTTGCCATGCCCTCATAATAAAGTTATTTATAAGTGAGGTGTCTTGTTGAATTATATTAATAATTGTCTTTAATGTATTAATTTAATTTAGTGACATTAATTTTCATAGAAAGGATCATTTATGTACCAATTTGGATTGTTCTCTCAGTTGTATTGTTTCCTCAGCCCTTATGACTAATTCCACAATTACTTCCTTTTTCTAATTAAATATATTTAACGTATAACTGGGAAAATTTAAGGTATGCAATATATTAAGTTGATACATTTATATACTGCAATATGATTGCCATTATAGTGACAGCCCATGTTACATAATTATCCTTTGTTTTTAGTGGTTGAAATAACTAAGTTATAGTTTCTTACCAAGTTTGATATTGTCTCTATGCACTCTACTGAGCATTAGATCACTAGGGCTTATTATTTACTACTCATTATAAATGTATACACCTTAAACAATACTTGTCCTGTCCCACTTCCCTATTCCCTGGAAATCATTTTACTGTCCATGTTTAAGAATTTGGATCCTTTAGATTCCACATGTGAGTGATATCATATATACTGTCCTTGTTTGTCTGACTTATCTCACTTTGCATAACGTGCTCAACATCTGTGTTGTGGCAAATGGAAGGCTGTCCTTTTTTCTCATGATTGAATACTTTTCATTGTACAAATATACCACATCTTCCTCAATTCATTCTTATTATTCATACCCCTAATTATGTGAGCACAGTAGTAAATTATGTGTTATTTTCTTCAGTGTATGAGCAATTTACATCTATACATACATATAAACATACATATCTCTTAGGTCAGGTTCCTTAAAAATAGAGAGGCACCAATTAGGTTGCTTATGGTCTGTTAAAGAAGTGCCCTTAAGAAGGGAGTGCAGTAGGCCTGGGAAAGGCAAAGAGCTACGGAAAAGCATGGTCTCAAGTAAAGTCTAGCTAGCCTTTACCTGATCAACAGGGGTAGAGGGCCAGACAGCCTTTTCTAAGATACGAGTCCATCCGTCATTAGCAGTGGTGGGATGGTAAGACTTCCTGAGCAAGGTGTCTCCCACTGACCACAAGCATTTCTTCTGAGAAGGGGAGCTCTTGTGGGCACTTGGTGACCAGTGCCCATGGCAGCTGGGGTCAGAGGCATTGCCCTGGGACAGAATCTCTGTGAGCTGTGGAAATAACATCCACCACTCAGTGGGTGATACTTGCATTATTGTAATCGGGGCATATTATAAAGGTGATATAAGGAATAGTGAAGGCATTTATCTTCTGCATGACTCAGCTATCTCATCTGAAAAACGACAGGGCAGATGAATTTAAAAACCTTTCCACTCCTAAATTCCCGTGTCTGTTTTAGGAAAAGAGAAACAGAGTTCTATTTTTGTTTTCTCTCACTGCCTAGATGGATTTCATTGCTAAGTCATTGGCTTTTATTAGTCTTGGTTTTCTTACATATACAAAAAGGATAAAAATAATACCTAGTGTTGTGAGGCCTTAATAAATTTAATGTATGCAAAACATTTTATAGCAGTATCTTGCACATAGTAAGTGTCCCATAAATACTAGCAATCATGAGCGTATGTAAAGTAAAATTACAATACAACCTGTTTAAAGATCTCTCTCAGAGGGAAAGCAAGTGAGGGGGGGGGGAGATTAACTAGATATTTCATATGCATATATGCATAATCCAAGGACACAGATAATAGAGTGGTGAAGGCCTGGGGAAAGAAGCGGGTGCAGGATAGGGGTGGTGGTAGGGACAAGGGCAGGGTGGAAGGGGTTAATGGCGGGGGGGAGGGGGACATCTGTAATACTTTGAACAGTAAAGATAAAAAAAGAAAAGATGAAAAATTAAAAATACAATATTACTTAAAAAAAAAGAAAGAGGAATAGGAAGGGAAAGAGACAGAACAACGGAGACAGAGCTACATCAACTTTTGCATAGTTTTAAGGAAGCAGAAAAATCCTGATCACTCTACTGCTGAAAGCCCAAATAAGTTAAAAGGAAATGCTGGGAGGGAAAATATCTCTTCAGAGCGAGTTTTTTTTTATTTTTATTTTTTGAAATTTACTTTAAGTATAGTGAAATTGTTACTTATTAAAGTTCATAAA